ATGATTTAGCTGTCAAAAGTTGTAAATGGAATATGTCTACCACAAGACTGTATGGAGTACAGTAATTAATTTCTTATATAATAACCACCAAAACTTCAATAAGATTTCTTAGTGTACATAATCTTTATTTAATACACACAAATACATTGTGTACAACTACATACAGCTTGGCACACTTAGCCTATACATCCTATACATCAAATAACAATGACATTACCAGTTTTATTTTTCTTAAAGCAGAGCATATTCATTATCGAGTGTTAATATAAACCTAAAAAGCAGTGCAAAGGGAAAACATCAGCACAACAGGAAAAGAAAAACACCATGATTACATGAAAGTTGGAAAAAACATATATATGTTCAAAGTGGAATGTTATTTAAAGACCGTGCTCGTACTTTATTGGATGATTCTGTCCTTTTCGTACAAATTTAGTGTAATACTGCTTACAGTTTTTCATTAGATATTTTTAAATAGCCTCATCTTCCATTAACTTTAGCCTGCTTTAACTAAAACTGACAGACACTTGTTGAAACCTGCCTTTTAAGGATACAGCTCAAAATACACCATTTGTTCTTTGTGTTAGCCATGAAAAGGCCAAAACCAACCATGAGTTCACTGAACTTTCCATGTTTTAAATTGGGTGTTGCTGCCTTCTTTCCTTTGAATTTAACTTCTGGCTGAAATTATCCACCATATTTAAGCTGTTTTCTAAGACCCACTGAAGCAAACTTGTCATGTGATGCCCTCTAGCTGAACACCTCAAATGCATTAACACTGGCAGGCTAGCAAGTGTAGCACACTCATTAGCAAATATGGTGAGCAACTTTTAGTATTTTGTGTCAAGCAGCACATTTGTGTTTACATCAGAGTGAAATAATCTTGGCTACACCTCTGCTTAACATTCAGTTCTGGAGGCTTGTTGACATAGTGACTACTCAAATACTTGGTAAACTACTGTAGCTGGCGAGCTACACCATCAAAACACTAGCCAACATTTTGCTCTGGGGACTGAGTTACTTTTGAAAAGAGGGAAAAGGCACTCAGAGCTAACTGGTCAGTTTGCTTGGTCACTTACAGGAGAATAAGTTCATACATTTTATATTTAATAGCTGTATTTATTTGTACTATTTACAGCCTCATTACTGTGCTAACCATCTTTTGTGTGCTAATCATCTTTTGTGGTGCACGTTACTAATCCTAACTAATTATTTGACAAGCACTTTTAGCATAGACCCTACTGACTAATTTGAGGCATAAGCATGCTCACATTTATAATGGTGAAATCCATTTGTTTCAATAGACTCACTGTCAGAGGATTAGCAGGCATTAAGTATATCTGCTCTAATTTGCATTTAATGGGCAAAATTTTAATTCATGCCATGCTGCCATCAGCGGGTCTTCACTCTCAGCTTCTCATACCAATTTTAACTTTATTTTAAGAAGTAATTATTTCTACAACTTCTACAAGTCTTTCCTGTTGTTTTTCCTAATGTGCAATCAAATTAATCAGTATGTACAGATCATTTTGGTGATGCAATTCCCATTAAAACCAGTGCTGTAAACACTATGGCTCTTGCAGGTTTGCCAGAAACTCCTCTATTTCTCTACACATGCGGTTCCTGCCTCTGTCTCTAATCCTCTCCAGAGCTTGGATGCTGTTCCCACGAAAGTAGGATTGTTGCGGTATTGCTGCTGCCTTCATGTGATATCTTACTGACCCGTTACGATCCTGTCTTTCAAAGTTTAAGTATTTTGCGTAGTGGTTGTAAATCATCTGTTTGTCCACAGGTTCAAGATCACTTAGTAGCAGTTCATTGTATATCTGCTCAGCTTGAGCCTGGCCGTAATTTGACTTTGCGTATATATTTGCAAGGTCTATTTTCTTCATTTGTGATGTTTGAGGGTAAAGAGAAATCACGTCCTTAAGGAGACTGATTGCTCTGTTTATCATGCTTTGCTTTGGGCGACTGTCCCTGAAGAAAAGGATCTTCCATTTGTAGCAGAGTGCAGCACATCTCTTCAGATAACGCTCATCTGGATGGTTTTCCAGAGCCTCCTCTGCCAAATCAATGGCCTCATCAATAGATACATAGTGTCTGTAAACTCGTAATAACCCTTTTATACCGCTGTAGCTGCTGACAGGATTTCTCAAAACCCTTATGGCCAACTCACGTGCTTCATCTTCAATTCTGTCTCCTTTCTTAGCACATTGCTCAAGGTAGTGAACAGCGAGGTACAAGTTCTCTGGATCCTGCTCCTTGGCCAGTCTCATCTTCTCCAAGATGTCAGCCTCTAGCCCTGTTTCACTGTGCTTGAAAGCACCCACTAACCCTAAGACATGGCTGGTGTTCCACTCCACCATGCCTGGCTGCATCCTGATGGCTTTCTCAAAGTAATCTGCAGCCAGCTGCTTTTGTTCTGCGCTGAACTTCATCAGGGTCCAGGCTTTTTCAGCACAGATCTCTGGATGGAGCTCATCCTGAGATGGAGATGGATATTCATTCATCAGGGCATCGACCTTTGACAGGTAAGCCTGACTCTCTGCTTGTTCTCCCAGGTGGTGGTGCAACCAAGCCAGGTTCCCATAGTTCACCACTAACCAGGGACCTTCATCTGCGTTTCTCATCTGGCGGAAGGCCTCTGCAGCCTTGCTGAACAAACTCTGGGCATCTTCTTTAAACCCCAGGTCATACTTAATGAACCCACGCAGGTTGTAAATGTGACCCAGCCAGCTGTTTCCCTCCTCGGTGCCAATGTCCTCTAGCTTGTGCCTGAGGCAGAGTTTGGGCCTACCAGGGTCCAGATCCCAGGTGAAGTGGCACTGCAGGGCCTCCAGTTTGGACTTCAGTGTTGTTTGACTCTGAGCAGCACTGATGGAGAATACAGATAACAAATATTCAAACACATCATCAGTAGGTTCATACAATATGCTGTGAAGTGTACTTTGTTTGGATAACTATTGTTTATCTCATGAATGGAGGGAAAGAAGGAAATGTAACAATGGATTATGGAGAATTGGATGGACAGTAAAGACATAAGGAAGGAAGGAAGGAAGGAATGGAGTAGGAAGCAGTAATACCACTACAGTCAAAATAATCTCTTAAAAGTAAAAGTCCCGCATTCAAAATGTCTCTCAAATTAAAGTATTAGCATCAGTACCAAAAGTAAATGCAGCCTAGTCATTACCGAAAAGGGCCCATTTGGATTCATACAGAATCATAACTATTAATGTATTAATGTGTTCATCACATAATGTTGCAGCTGGTAAATGTGGAACTCATTTTAGTTACTTTATATAGGTTGGGTAGTTTAATATATAGTAGTACATCAAACAAAAAAGGCGTAAAAGAAGGACAGATGGGGGAAAAAAAGACAAAAGAGGGTGAGTTAAGACATAAGAAAAGATGGCCAAAAGAGGTAAGGCAGGAGGAGGCAAGTAAGGAGCCTAGGAAGAGAAAGGAAAGGAAAGAAATTGTGAGAGACACACCGCAAGGGTAAATGGACTGAGAAAAAGAATTAACTGAACAAAAAAGATGGATTTAGCATTTCTCCAATTTGTCCACCGAAATGATAGCCTACTCCTGGCAGTGAGATAAAACCTTTAGAGAACGATCGACCAGTAGCCTAACAATTGTTGAAAACAATAAATAAAATACAAATAATTGAAATCCCTGTGGCTCTGACTGAGAGGGAAGAAGGCAGAAACACAGAGGAGAAGAATAAAGAAAGAATGCAGCACTGAAGGAAGTTGGCTGATTGAGGACTCTGAACATAAGCTAGCCTATATTTCTACATCATCACCATTGTCTTGTGGGATCCATAAAGTTAATATGTCCGACTCTGAGGCTTAAATAAATCATAATGATCGCCTTCTTAATATTAACTCATACATTGATATGAAATGTAGCTACTCACCTCATCATTCAGCTGCTTCTTTGACTCAGTTGCTCAATAAATATCAGTTGGACGTCCAGCTTCTGCTTTGCTGTAAACCATGTGATGTTGCTGAGCACACAGTGTGAATGTTCACAGTGAATCGGAAGCGATCGGAGGTTGGGCATTTGCTCATAAAGTCCTGTTTTCTCTCTTAACGCGCCTTAACTTTCGTTTTCCAGGAATGGAAACTACAGCCCCATCTGAAATACACTAAAACATGACTCATCAGATTTTGTCATTTTAAGATGTTATAGTTTCAGAATGTTGTTTTCTTGAAGTCACACTGAGTGAAATAGGAAAATGTTGATACTTTGGGCAGCAGCTGTGCTCAGGACTCTGCTGTCTGCAGAGTTTCGGTATGGAGAACTGTCGTAGACCATGGGACACCTGCATAATGACGCTCTGCTGCCACCTATCGTTTTACCCAAGTCGTCATTTTTTCTTTTCCCAGTGTGGCGAAGGTATGACCCGTCCTACGCTCCCTCTGATTGGCTACGTGCAGCTTTGCGTTTAGGCATGAGAACTGACGATTGGGTAAGGTTAGGCTTGGGTTAAAATGCATTGCTACAAGAATATCAGGGTAAGCCAATCAGAGGAAGAGTAGGGCGGGTCATGCCTTCCTAGTAAAAAAAACAAAAAAGGTTTCGAGATCCATGTTCGAGATGAGGTACAAGCCAATCTTATTTAGGCTACATTAAAAACAAACTAATTAATAATTACTCAAGTACCTAAAACGTTACATGGAGTCTAAAGGGACTGTGTATAGGCCTACTTATGACATCAATTACTTAAAAAAAAAAGATGTATTAAAATAGACTTTATACCCGGATAATACACGAATCAGCAAGCGAGTCAATCTATCAAAAAAGTATTTAAATCTGCTGCAAGTCCATGGTTACAGATATTAAATCATAGAAGACCATCAATAATATATCAAGCAATACAAAAAGTGAACTTTGTAAGATGTGTGTATGTGAAATGCAACCGAAACTTACGTTTACAAACTGCGCAGTTTACGTAAAGTACGTACGACAGAACATTTCCTGCGTATGTTGCTGTAGTTAACAATGGCGGAGCTCAAAGAGGCAGACGCTGCTGAGCTACACCAGGAGGACGTCGATATCAAACGTAAGTTAACTGCACCCGTTTGTAGTCTGAATGCTAAATTTGGGACCTTAAAGTGGATAATAAATTGTCGTGTAGTCATCATCAGCGCTGTTCGGTGAATTCACGGAGAATATGAGTTTGTAACTGCTGAACTAAACGAGGGCCTCACCACGGAGCTCCGCCATAGGACCTAAATAGTCAACAATAACAGCGACAAAAGCGTCCTAAGCTAATATTAGCTGAACCATTGTCGTTAGTAGTATCATACGTTAGTGTGTCTCTCCGTAGAGGCTTTATTAGAGTGCTGGATTTGGGTTGCACCACAGTTTCATATGACACGGTCTCATCGCGGAGCTGCACTACAGGACCGCTCAGCTTGGACATCAACTGTCCGTTTATGAACGGCATATTAACCGTTTAATATTTACGAAGCCGCGTGCCCAGACATGTTGGTTTAACAACCAGCTAGCGTTAGGTTAGCTAAACTTCATTGTAGGATTTAGAAAGTGTGGGAAGGAGAAGATGCTGTTTGTAAATACATGATGTTAACATGTTGTTATTGTGACTAAATTATGCTCATTTGTTGTTTAATATAACAATATATGTTAATTTGTTGTGTAAACTTACAGTGGGAACAGGTACTGAGGCTATGAGACCAAATTACTACTCAAGATCTTAAATAGTCACCAAAAAGTCTCTATATCATCAATTGTTTCCTCATTTTATTGTTCTTTTAACTGTGAAAGTCAAAGGTGGAAGAAGGGTTCAGATCTTCTAGCCTACTTAAGCAAAACCAACTCTTTGGGGAAAAACAATTGTGAGAAGTAAAGTCCTGTATTCAAAACTTGAGCAAGAGTATAAAAATATTAGCTTGTAAATATAGTTGAAGTACAAAAGGAAAAATTATACATTATACAGAAGTTTCAGAGCCTTCGGGCCAGTTTCAAAGACATATTTCTATTCATCTTGGATGTTGCAACTGGTAAAGGTGGGGATAATTTTAACTGCTTATGAAGCCATTTATTAGTTATTAATCATTTGTATTAGGCAAGGGAGGATATGAAAATTGCATGTCACAATTATCCTGGCCAACATAATTGCAATTCCCGATATAACCCCTTTGATTATTAAAATATGCTCAAAACACCTAAAATGAACATGCAAGTGTGCCTCTCAGCTGTTTGTATGCAGTCTGTTTTCGTAGAATCTCTTTAATTGTTGGTTGCCCAACAGTCTTTTTGGATGCTGCTGGACATAATATTCACAATTATCCCAATAAGTTCACCACAATCAACTTTTTATTTTCAATCATGATTTTTGATAAAATTGTATCTCTTCCCATCTCTTATTTGTATTTAGAATTTGAGTCTGCAAAGTAACTAAAGTTATCAAATAAATGTAGCAGAGTAAAAAGTATAATACTTGCCTCCACAATGTAGTGGAGTAGATGTATAAAGTAAAAAAAATGAAGATACTCAAGTGAACTATCTTAGAAATACTGTCCTTGAGCTGGCTGTAATTGTTTTTTTCCCTGCAGTACCAGGAATGTAATTCTTGTAAATGCTATATTAAGAATTTCTATCTAAACATTCAAACATTCTCCGGTTGAAGTTTCTCCAGTGTCAGATTATCTGTTTTTCTGTTTTATATCACAGTAAACTGATTATATTTGAGTTACGTACTGTTGGAAACAAGAAATCATTTCACAGTTTCATTATTTTCTGAAATTTTGTAGATGAATAAAAAATCATTAGTGGCCTCACTGCCTCTGATGAATGTACCTGGATTTTTCCATCTCTGACCTTTGAAAGTGGGAGGACATAAACTGGTTTTGAAAAGTGGCCAGTCAGCCAAGACAGACACTCTTCAAACACGTTAAGCTGAACTAACGTTCTGTTTGTGGAAACAGCATTTATTGCACCATGTATTTGACAACAAAAATCAAAATAGCTTACAGATCCATCTTGTTTCCTTTCCTGTCTGTCTGTCAAGGTGGAGATGGTGGAGAGGCAATGTCAGCTGGTGACCAAGCTGGAGAACAGGCTGTGAAGACTGAAGCTGCTGCAGACAGCGATGCTAAACCTTCAACCACAACTGCTGGTGAGTTCATAAAAGCTGTTTTTGTGTATTGATTGGTGGATATGGCTTCATACCATCTGTGTTCACCGACTTGAAGGAGGAAACTTTAATGACAGGATAGTCAACTCAAACTTTGCAGATGTTTTCTGACTTCAAAGAAAAAAACTTTGAATGCTCTCCTTTTCTGCAAAACAGAGAGACACATCTCCATCCAAACTAAACTGGAGGGCCTCGAGGGGCTGGTTGACCTCAATGGTGGTAAGTTCAGTTATTCTGTAAATCTTCACCATTCTTCTCCTGTGTTTCTCTTATTTTGTGAAAAAATAAATAAATCAGATGACATAGAGGTAGAATTGGAGGACAGTTAGTCAGTTGATAGAGAATGAATCAGAAACCACTGATAATTGATTAACTGTAATTTTTGATGCAAAAGTGCCAAAATGTAACTTGTCCAAGCGCCTCAGTTGGTCATTTTTGTGGCTTTTTATGTCTCCTGTGATGGTGAACAAAATATCTTTAAGTTTTGGAGTGTTGGTCGAATATACAAGATATTTAAGATGTCATATTTGTCTTAAGAGATCTGTGATGACATGAAATTTGAAATATGTTTTTTTTTTGCATTTTACAAGCCAAAATAATCAGCAAATTAAGCAATAATGATAATAATTGTTAGTTGCAACCCTGCTAATTGATTTTGTGTTTCCACTCATCAGCGGGACGGAAGTCGTGTCCTCTGTGCCCTGAGGAGAAGTTTAAAGCCTGCTACAGCCACAAGCTCCGGCGACACCTGCAGAACCTCCATTGGAAAGTCTATGTGGAGTTTGAAGGTAGGAATATGAAACACATACACACTCACACTGAAGCTGGCCGATCAGGTCTGGCTCATAATCGTTGTTCTAGTTCATTCCAAAGGTGTTAGATGGGGTTGAGGTCGGGACTCTGTACGATAGAGACTGATACAGAGAGTGAAACAGAATGTTGAGTTCACGTCATCAGGATGGTCTCACCAGGCTACTGTGCAGACCAATCAAGTTCCTTAAAACCAAACTGGGAAAACCATTTCTTAATGGGGCTGGCTTTGTGCAAGGGGACAAACAGGTCCTGAAATGAAGTTGCAAGCACCCCGTTGCCCAAATGTTTTTTGCATTTTTTAGCTGCAACCAGCAGCTCTATAGCCTACTCTGTCTGTCGGTCGGTTACCCCACCCTTTGATAGCCAAAATCTTTGCCCTAGGGGGTTGAAATTTGTTAATAGCTAATAGCTAATAATATTAGCTATTAGCTAGCAGCTAATTGGTAGCTGGCCAGTGTAGCCTATGAGCAGCTCCAGAGTACATGGACAGAAGTACACATACTTTTGGCCACATATTGTAGGATGCCTACTTAAAACTGGAATGTCTGAATAAGTAAACAAAGCTAAAATTAGTCATGTCCAGATCTGTTTACAGAAAACACAGAAAACTGTGTGAACGTATCATCTACTGATATCTTGGTCTCAGTAAATCAAGCTGACTGTGAAGACGCTCATCAAATCTGAATTCAAACAACATAATTACTGACCTTTGACCCTTGACCTTTAACAGGCCAGAAGATGTGCATCTGCCACCTGCCCTGCAGAAACCTGAAGCCCAGCCTGAGTGGAGATCCGGTGAGAAATTAGACACACGCTATCTGCAGATCAAGTTCCCTTCAGCTTGGAACAATACTGACTGCCCTGTGGCTTCAAGCTGCATCACCACAGATGGACCTTTCATGTCGATCCCTTTTCACTTTTCACAAACTTGTCTTAAGCATAAATGTTATTGTGCTGCAGAAATGCTTTATTTTAAGGTTCCTGTCATTTCTGATTTTTTTTTTTATTTTTACGTAGCATCTTTATTTTGATTATAACATCAATATCGTGAACTAGAAGAAAGATTTCCAAACAGAACCTCTAAATCCTCCCATGCCCAGCCTATACAAACACACAAACAAGACTAAATACAAAGTGGCTTGCTTAGAAATAAAGATAAAGAATTAATTTTTAAAAAAGGCAAAGCAACAAAGTACAAAAACACAACTCCCACACAGAAATAAACATCATCAGTGTGCTTCTACCTCATCCTGTCACTAACATATTTATCAAAGAAATATACTAATATTCTGTCATTTTCTGTCCAGGCCTCAGGGAGACACGTGGCTCACTACCACTGTGTGGTGTGTTCTGTCACCATCGCCCGCAAGACGGATATGATCAGCCATCTGAAGCGACATGTCAACAAAGGAGAGACTGAAGCCAGCTACTCAGGGAGCTCAGACGTGCCGTTTGAGGAGCCGGGTAATGAACACTGACACAGTCTTGGCACAAATGCTTCACTGGACAGATGTGGGGAGATATGGAGACAGATTTAAAAAAATGGTCAGAATTAAAGTAGACTTTCAGTCCCCTGTTCAGGTTAAAGGGGAACTATGATGTGTTTTCTTATTTTGTGCCATATACAGTACAGGCCAAAAGTTTGGACACACCTTCTCATTCAATGCGTTTTCTTTATTTTCATGACTATTTACATTGTAGATTCTCACTGAAGGCATCAAAACTATGAATGAACACATGTGGAGTTATGTACTTAACAAAAAAAGGTGAAATAACTGAAAACATGTTTTATATTCTAGTTTCTTCAAAATAGCCACCCTTTGCTCTGATTACTGCTTTGCACACTCTTGGCATTCTCTCCATGAGCTTTAAGAGGTAGTCACCTGAAATGGTTTTCCAACAGTCTTGAAGGAGTTCCCAGAGGTGTTTAGCACTTGTTGGCCCCTTTGCCTTCACTCTGCGGTCCAGCTCACCCCAAACCATCTCGATTGGGTTCAGGTCCGGTGACTGTGGAGGCCAGGTCATCTGCCGCAGCACTCCATCACTCTCCTTCTTGGTCAAATAGCCCTTACACAGCCTGGAGGTGTGTTTGGGGTCATTGTCCTGTTGAAAAATAAATGATCGTCCAACTAAACGCAAACCGGATGGGATGGCATGTCGCTGCAGGATGCTGTGGTAGCCATGCTGGTTCAGTGTGCCTTCAATTTTGAATAAATCCCCAACAGTGTCACCAGCAAAACACCCCCACACCATCACACCTCCTCCTCCATGCTTCACAGTGGGAACCAGGCATGTGGAATCCATCCGTTCACCTTTTCTGCGTCTCACAAAGACACGGCGGTTGGAACCAAAGATCTCAAATTTGGACTCATCAGACCAAAGCACAGATTTCCACTGGTCTAATGTCCATTCCTTGTGTTTCTTGGCCCAAACAAATCTCTTCTGCTTGTTGCCTCTCCTTAGCAGTGGTTTCCTAGCAGCTATTTGACCATGAAGGCCTGATTGGCGCAGTCTCCTCTTAACAGTTGTTCTAGAGATGGGTCTGCTGCTAGAACTCTGTGTGGCATTCATCTGGTCTCTGATCTGAGCTGCTGTTAACTTGCCATTTCTGAGGCTGGTGACTCGGATGAACTTATCCTCAGAAGCAGAGGTGACTCTTGGTCTTCCTTTCCTGGGTCGGTCCTCATGTGTGCCAGTTTCGTTGTAGCGCTTGATGGTTTTTGCGACTCCACTTGGGGACACATTTAAAGTTTTTGCAATTTTCCGGACTGACTGACCTTCATTTCTTAAAGTAATGATGGCCACTCGTTTTTCTTTAGTTAGCTGATTGGTTCTTGCCATAATATGAATTTTAACAGTTGTCCAATAGGGCTGTCGGCTGTGTATTAACCTGACTTCTGCACAACACAACTGATGGTCCCAACCCCATTGATAAAGCAAGAAATTCCACTAATTAACCCTGATAAGGCACACCTGTGAAGTGGAAACCATTTCAGGTGACCACCTCTTGAAGCTCATCGAGAGAATGCCAAGAGTGTGCAAAGCAGTAATCAGAGCAAAGGGTGGCTATTTTGAAGAAACTAGAATATAAAACATGTTTTCAGTTATTTCACCTTTTTTTGTTAAGTACATAACTCCACATGTGTTCATTCATAGTTTTGATGCCTTCAGTGAGAATCTACAATGTAAATAGTCATGAAAATAAAGAAAACGCATTGAATGAGAAGGTGTGTCCAAACTTTTGGCCTGTACTGTATGTACTGTTCCAATGTCAGATTTTTTACATTAAGCCATTCTCCCAGCTGCAATGACAGTGCAGGGACGCTGAGATATTGAAGATTTGGAAACACTGAGAAATCAGAGCAGACTGAGCCTTTTTTTTGGGAAGGGCTTTATGAGATAGGCGCTAAAATGGAGCCTCTTACACAGAGGGTGAATACGGGTGTTCCAGCACAGACAGTATGAGAAAAATAAAGTGTTTTTTGACCATTAAAATATGCAACCATTTTCTAGTAGAAACTCAAAATACAAGTATGAATCTAAGCAAAAAATGAGTATAATAGGTCCCCTTTAGGATCCAAAAATCCTGGATCCTAGACTTTACATAATGCAGCTCTATACTCTGTCTTTGTCGGACCTTCCCTGGTGAACACCCACATCCTTCACACTCCACACCTCCAGTTTGTCACACAGTTTTTTGGTTAATACTCTCCAGGCTCAAGCTGCTTATTTCTCTTATTCAGTTCAGTTCTTTATTGTCCCACTAGGGGAAAATCAGCTTGCAGCGGAGCACAGATAAACAATAACATTAAACATGTAACAGTACACCAATAAAGCCTGCTAAGTGTGAGCAAAAAGTACAAAGTAAAAATTACTCTTTGTGCAAATGAAGCATGTTTATTGAATTTGGGACAAAGGGGAATTTTAAATCTGTCGCACTTTGCTCAAGTGACACCCGGCCCTGAACTCCCTAAAATCCTTCCTTGTTTCCTTGAGATGTGGCCATAAAAGATGTCAAGGAGGACAAGGAGGATTCTTGCTTGCTGATAATCTTGCTGACCACCTAACAATGTTACCCGGTCTTTTTTTTTTTTGGTTGTCATACCAGGATCCCCATGAAAACATAAAACATCTAACCGCATAAATAAACATTTACAGCCTGGTTCAAAAAACAGTTTTGGTCTCTGTAGATAATTTCAACTTTCATGACTAGTGTACAGGTTGTGATTTTTTTTTTGTAAATTACCCATTTACATTTTATTAATGCCCAAAGTTACGCATATATTACAGCGAGGCAACCTGAGTTACAGGCTGTCTACAAGGCATCGCCACAGTCTGTGAGTCCAGTGCACCCCTGACTCCTCCACAGCTCCACCCTTTCATCCAAAATATGGTCACTTCTGGCTCCCAAAATAACAAGATGGCGACAGCCGAAATGCCAAACTGAAGGCTTCAAAACTGTCAGTCACAGACGCTGTGTCCATTATTTGTATAGTCTATGTATCAGACTAGATATCCAGTTTTGGTCACTTGCATATCATAATAAGACGATACAATAGGATCAAGAGTCACAAACATAAGCTTTTTTTTCACTGTTGTCCTTGAGTGAAATAAACAAATTTCTACACTAGTTTCACATATTTACAGTATATAGTGGACAACTTGAATGTGAAAGTAGAACTTTGCAGTTCCCCTCAGCTTTAAAGAGATTTTGGATTTTTACAGTAAGTTCTAGCTCACTGTTTATCTGTCGGGCCCACAACTTTATTGATTCATTCTCACTGCTCTCATAGTGCCATTTTCAGAGAAAAAGCTGTAAAACGCTATAGTACACTACCTGCTCAGTAGCAAACAGACACAGTTAGAGACTAGCTGATGAATATATTGGAGCATTAAAGAGACAGATATTGTTCTCTTTGGGCATCTCTTTGTTTACAGGTTTATCTAGGATACAGGGTTTTGGGCATTGCTCACATCTAGCCAATTCCATGTTGCCGTAGCACAGAAATAATCAAACTTCTGAGAAAACGTTGTCAAAACAAGGATTCATTTCTATATGCTGTGGAGACATCCAGAACCTTCCATTTTATGAGACTCAGTTATTAGCTGGTTGCATCTACACTGCCACTGTCTCTACATCTGCTGAAGACATGCTTTATGTTCAAACACCAGTTGCTGCACCATATTAAAAAGCTCTTACTGTAACCATGTGCTCCTTAGTCCAGATCCTGCCTCAGTCATGCTCTCTGTTGAGGCACCATATAGAGCTTCAAGTTGTATAATCCTCAGAGATTCCTCTATGGATGGTTTTGCACAAAAAAAAAAGTAATGATACTGTGATGACTTTTCTGAGTGATTGCAATGTGTAATGTGTGTCGGCAGCTCCGTCTGGTCAGGCGTATGAAATCATGAAAGAACTTGGAACCAACGTCCAGCTCCTCCCAAACCACACCACCCCTCAGAAGAGTGACACCTACTTCAACCGCAAGATGAAGACCAACAGGTCAGCATCATTCACATGAGACTTTAGCTCTTATAAATATACGCGTGTGTGCAGTTTTTTTTAAACTTTGATTGCAACCATCCTTTTAAGCAGAGTTTGTGTGTGTATTTTAGGCAGCTGGTGTTTTGTTCGCTCGCTGTTCTGGCGGAGGAGAGAAGCCCGATCGAGTGTCTGGATGCTTTTGGAGCCACAGGTGAGATTGAATTAACCATTTTATACTATATTATGTTAATATGTTACACTGATTTTTATGCAGCATTAATCACACCACTGACACTTTAATGTCCAAATGCTCATGTGAAGTGTCTATCTCGTACTTTAGTCATATTATAGTGTTTTGTTCCTCTTATTAGTTCATTGTTATTCTTCTCTATTTGTCTGTGTTGCTGTGTTTGTGCTGCAGCAACAACCAAATTATGTGTAAATTATGTCACATTTAGGGCTGCACTCAAATCTACTGTGACAAAAATTCCAGCAGATTTTTTGCAGTAATAAAAACCTGTGGTGGTGTGATCAAGTAATAAATGGTGTAATTTATCCCAAATATCTTATTTTCAAAAAGCAAATGGAAAAAAGGCTTCCAATTGTTGAGATGTTTTCATCTGTTATTACCAAAAAATTACATATTTTAAAAAATTATTTCAGGTATCCCTTAGTAGATTCTAGTGGAGTCACATTCCTGCGAATAAGAGGAATTATTTTACCTGTCGACTGAGTTTTGAGCATAGTACTTAGTTTTGTAAATGTAGGTCAGACCCGACAAGCCATTTTGTTACGGGCATTTTGTGATAGGGGGATAGAGTAATTTATTAACAGAAAAAATGAGAGACACTGACTGTTGCAGCTCCAGCTTAAAGAAATTAACATCTTGAGGTCTGAATCTGAGACCAATAAGCGTGTTAATGGTTCTTTGCTGTGAAGATTGATTATCAAGTTAAACCACATAAGAATCTGAATCGGGTTTATTTTCATGTAGATTTTCAATGTACAAGGACTTTGCCTAGGTACAGTATTAAGTAAGAGAAAAGCAAAAAGGAAACAAGTACTGCAAGTCAAGAATCTTGAATAGAACAAAAACATTAAAAACATATGTCAAACATATTTTAAAATGGAAAGAGCAGAAAGTATACATTTACATTGTGCCTTGGAAGTATTGGTTGAGGAAATTTTTCCGGACCTTCACTTCAACACTCCCCTCTCTCTGTGTCTCTCTCTGTCACTCAGGGATTATGGGCCTCCAGTGGGCGAAGCACCTTCGTAATGCAGTCAAAGTGACCATAACAGACATCAGCGACACATGCGTCAAAATGATCAAAGAGAACTGTGAACTCAACCATATCCGGGTGGACGGAGGCTCTCGAGGTCCCCGGGGGCCCGATGGGACCAGCAGTGAAGGAGAGGGAGCGCCCATCGCTACAGTGGAAGTCGCCAAGATGGATGCCAACGTCACCATGCACCTGTGGCCCTTTGACTACATGTAAGTAGGAAGATTTTTATCAACGTTGAAATCAATTTATCTTATTTATCAGATTAGTTTGAGTAATTTATCAATACTTGCTGACATGCGGTTAGGTGGAAAAGGACGAATACATATTTATAGTTATCATTTAGCCTTTATTCTGTAAAAATAACTGCAAAAACTTATGGAAAAGAAAGTACTTTAAAGTACAATCTAAAAATGACAAAAACATGTTTGAATCTGTCCCATTTATATTAAGTCTGGTGATATTTACTATTTTTCCTCTTGTCACCAAATCCTTCATGTTCAGACTCAAACTAACAGTGACTGAATCTACTGACAAGTATTGTGTGAGTATCATAGAGCTCCATTGTTGTTAAAACATATCAGTGAGCCACAATGTTGCACTGGGTGACATGTCCCTTCACCACTATGAACACACACAGTAGTTCATTTTAGCTCAATCCCACATACACCGTCCTGCTGCACCAAATACTCACGAGAGCACCAAATGTGGATCGTCACCAACAAATGCACTATTTCCTCCTGTTTGTTTGATAAAAACTATAGTAAGCAGCTGTTTTGGGAAAAAACTGAAACTTTTAAAAAATTAAACTATATATTTATGTTTTGAAGATTTACTTCTTCAGTAGAAGTCAGAAAGTTTTGCAAGATGGACTTACACATTTGAGATTTGATGACAACAAGACAAATACAGAATAGTCCCAGAAATACTGCAAAAGTAGCAGCCAGGATCTGATTATCTTAATCTAAAATTGATTAAATTATTGATTACATCCATTTTTCAATCATGTTTTTTTTATTTCATTTTCATTTCATGTTCATTTTTTTATAAAAGGAAAAAATGACCTGCTGAGGCTCCCTGTATGGTTCAAACGTACACATTAATGTTTCAATCCTTCTTTGTAGATCGGTTTTTGAAAATATTTTTGAAATTTCATTGATTATATCAGGTGTTTTTCTACTAGATGGATAGTGTGTTTTTTGTAGTGGCTTGATTTCTGTGCTTCTTTCAAGAAATATTACCAATTAATTTTTTTACCCCATTAATGGACTTTTTCACTAGTTATAATGTGTCTAGCTTGTCTGTCAAAGGGGATTAGCCTGGGTGCATTTTTTTTATACTGCAGAATAATAAAGACAACTGCTTTCTAAATATTTGCTGTTAGATATTTAAGAAGTTACTTTATCTCTTGAATCTTTCAGTCATTTGGATCCATTCGGGACAGCAGTGAACTACCTGGATGCGGCCTTCAGAAACGTCCGGAACCTGGGGATCATCTCTGTGACATCCACAGACACAGGCTCTCTGTACGCCAAGTCTCCCAATGTCACCCTGCGTCACTATGGCTGTCACATAGTACGCACTGAGTATTACAAAGAGCTAGCTGCACGCATGGTGGTAGCCACTGTGGCCAGGTAAGACTTTAAATTCTTGATGTACGTCTAACCCAATGTGGTACTAAGATTAGAGAAAACGTACTTCTCGCTGTCTGTTGTAGAGCTGCAGCTCGCTGTAATAAAGGCATTGAGGTGCTGCTGGCGGTGGCGTTGGAGCATTTCGTCCTGGTGGTGGTGAGAGTCCTCAGAGGACCTACACAGGCTGACGAGTCAGCAAAGAAGTTAAAGAAACTGGTCCATTGTCAGTGGTGTGAGGAGAGAGTCTTCCTCAAACAGGGAAACATGGTGGATGGTGAGTTGTTAAATTTTCTGCAGAGAATACGTACAGGAAACTGCGGTAGATACAGAAAGTAAATCATGTCTTTATTCGTATTTCCTGCAGACACGCTGCCCTGTAATTGCCATGGAAGTCTGCCTGGAAAGACAGCGGTGCAGCTGGGACCATTATGGTAAACCTCTCAGCACCACTGCCCACAGCAGCATCAGTCACAGACAGACACACCTCACTGAGCTGAGAAGTCACTGAAAACTGTATCTAATCCAGCAAGCCTCAGCCATCTGGTGGCAGCACCGACTGGAGATGCTTTCACACCTGCCCTGTTTGGTTTGGTTCAATCGAACTCAAGTTCATTTGCCCCCTAAGTGTGGTTTGTTTGGGCAGGTGTGAACACAGCAATCACATTTGGGTGCTTACCAAAGAACCGGACCTTCAGACCTTCTTGAAGCGGTGGTCTCAGTCCTGTTACAAATAAACTCTTGTGCGGTTTGTTTGTGTTGAGAACGTGTTCCAACCTTGATCCAAACCAACTGCAGTCACATTACACATTGTTTGGGTTAAACATGCATGAGCATGTTACAGTCCCAGAGGATTATTAATGTGCGCCTCCTCCTGTACTGCCTTAATATGCACATTCAGCACATCCAATACATCAAAACATTGTTTTCTAGTTGGAGCCTCGTTTTCAAACTGTACTTTTTGACTAAAATGAACAATGTGAGCAATGCAGTCTGAAAGCACCCTAAATGCAAAAATGATGACTACTGAGTTGCAGCTGACACTGCCATCGATTACATTTACATGCACAAAAAATATTCCGGTTTTTGCCCTTATTCCCAAAGAGACCATATTCCTACTAACCGTGGCTAATGAAAATGAACATTCATCCATTCATTATCCCCTCCACTTATCCAGGCACATGTTTGCAGTGAGGCTGGAGCCTATCCCAGCTGACACTGGGCAAGAGGCAGGGTACACCCTGGATTCACACCTTTTTTAGAGTCACCAATTAACCTGACCTTTATGTCTTTGGATTGTGGAAGGAAGCTGGAGAACCCAGAGAAAACCCACACTGACACAGTTAGAACATGCAAACTCCACACAGAAGGGCCCCAGCCGGCAGGCAGATTCTAACCCGCAACCCTCTTGCTGTGGAGACAGCGCTAACCATTGCACCACCGTGCCGTCCTGAAAATGAATGTATCCAGTAATATTACCATTTACATGCAGCTGTGTGTACTGCGATTAACGTGGCCTAACATGTTGTTTATCACGTCAAAATATGAAAAAAGTCACTTGTGCCAGCATTTTTTCAAAGTTTTTCACCAAATTCAACCTTCATCTTTCATTCCTTCAGCTGCCTTCTTGAAAAGGTCAATGTTGCAATATTTGAGCATATCCAAAAACCTGTTGATACCTCCCAAAAATGGGAGTTTGTGTCATTTGATTCTTCTCCTGTTGGGCCAAAATTATTTTAAATGTAAATATACATGTCTGGATTATACTGTTTTTATCTCTGTTAAAGTGTCCATTATTGAAGGAAATAAGGAAAGCATCACTATAACGTCTGATTTCAAACTTGCAGTGTGTGTGTGTGTTTGTGTGTGTTTGTGTTCAGGTCTGGTCCTTTGTTTAACACGGGCTTCCTGAGGAGGATGCTGTCTGCAGCGGTGAAGCACAGCATGGACGACATCCAGCCGCTTGTCAAAACTCTGATCTGCGAGTCCGAGTGCACCACCCTCAAGTCTTTAGTCCATGGGCCGTCCGCTCTCACCAACCAGGGTAAAACATCCCACCTCATCTGTCATGTGTGTCTGATGTTTGTATCAAGAAACCCCTTGTTTACAGAATAATGTTTCCTCTCTGCAGTGGAGTGTGGAGTCGTCATTAAGACCTTACAGAGCGGAGAGGAGTCGGGTCCTGCTGAGCAGTCTGGTGAGTCAGTCACAGGTTTGTTTTTATTGAGAATAGGAACTAGCCTTATTGGCCAAACATGCATACAAGTTGTCGTTGGATTTTTCCCAACTATATACGTATATTGTGTGGAAAACCAGGTTTGTTTTTTTGGTGCTCAAAACTAGCTTGTACGTGTTTCTTTAGGGTTGAAAGAAATATGATGATAGAACTTTGATTATCCCGAGGGAAATTGTTGTACAGCAGTTGCATAACAAAGTTAGGAATCCAAAGTGGGCCGTCTCAGTTTATCAATGGTCTCTGGTTATACTCTATTATATCAGCACTATTATATCAACTTTTCCTCGCTGTTGTGTTCCAGCCCAAAAATTCATGTAAATACATCTTAAAATGAAGATTAATTCACTTAGATAAAGTCACACAGCAGAGGGGAGCTACTTCCTCTGGAGCTGTACCCAATGATCAATAAATACAACCCTCCCCTTTTCTCTTTGGTCAGTGATGTACATCCCCACAAGACTGGTGGAGGCTGCGCAGCCATTGGTCACTTTCAGAGCCAAGTTCTGCTGATAATGTTAGCTTGTAAAACGTCTTTAAATTGGGAGCCAATTAATTGGTCAAACCTTTTAATTGTCTGAGCTCTTGTTAAAGTTGTTACAAAGGTGGCAGCACCAGTTTGGCCATTTTAACATATATTCAGTAATGTTAATTTCAAAGCATGTGTCATACAGACATGGCTGTTCCTCAGACAAATTGATGAGGTGATCCTCTCTTTCCTCTGTCCGAAACTTTGATGGCAGATGGCTAGTTAGCTAGCTAACTAGCTTGCTAATTTCACCATGTTTTTAAAGGTAACGTTAGAGTGGTTACTGAAAATGAAAGTTTTCCCTCATATGATGATACCAATGTGCATTCCTATGCTGTGACAAGAGTGTGTGCATGAAGCAATTAGTTTTTAAAATTTACTCATGTAGCAGCTAGCTAGTTAGCCAGCTAGCTTGCTAATTCCACCATGCTATCATGCTACACTGGTTACATAAAATGATTATCAGCACCTATTCATTTTAAAAGAGCAATGGCCAATGGGGAAACCCTGTGTCTTACATCATCACTTGGTGCAACGTCATCACTCACTCTCACTCAGTGATGGGCAGACACTTTTTTACAGCTGGCCTCCCATGCTGCAGTCCAGCCAAAAACTATTCAGGCTGGCATGCAGAAATTAATGGTATACCCTCTATAGTTCTCACTGGTATGCTCATGAGCTTGAAGTCTCCCTTCTGTTTTTTAAAATTAAAATTTAATATTAAAATAATTTCTTTCAATTATGTCTCCGGCCACTGCTGGAGCAGAGGTGTTATGTTTGGGTTGTCCATCCATTCCATTCTCTTGAATGCGATATCTCAAGAACACCTTGAGGATATTTCTTCAGATTTGGCACAAATGTCCACTTTGACTCAGAAATGAACTCATTAGATTTTGGTGGTCAAAGCCTAGGTCAAGGTCACTGTGAACTTGCCTACATCTCGTTCTTGTGAATGCAGTATCTCAAGAAGGCCTTGCGGTAGTTTCCTCAAATATGGCACAAATGTCCACCTGGACTGAAGAATGAACTGATTCAGATTTGGTGGGAGAAGGTCAAAGGACAGTGGTCACTGTGACCTCAGAAAAACTGTGACAGAACTTAAAATAAATGTCTGATAGAATAGAATAATGAAGTGATGACATTTTCTATCCAAAAGGTCAAATGTTAATTTCACTGTGACATCATCATGTTCTGCAAAAATACTTTTCTGGACATAATTCAACACCATAACTCAGGAACAGAAGGAGAGACATTTGGTCAGATACTGAATTGGTGACACTAATCTTGGGTGTCCACCTTGAAACTGTGCTGATTGTATAGATTTTCTGTGCTTCTGGATGGAAGATGCATGTGAAGTATCCATGTTTTTACAGACATAGATGTAAACAGCAAGTGCAGTTGGTTCACAAATAGGCAAACAACCACAAGCAATTCTGCCCCCCCCCCCCCCCCTTTTATTTACAGGATTTAAAACCAATATATCATAGACCAATAACAGAGTATCACAGAGAGGGGCTAGTTAACAAGGAAAACTAGGAAGAGCAGGGGCTTCCTCTCACTTTGCAGGACAGACCTGTTACACTTTGTAGCTCCATTTCTATCCTCTAGAGAGCAGTGTAGCTCAACTGTGTTGTACACTCAACAGAGAATTTACAATGTTGAAGCTTTGCAGGGAAAACATAAATGTGAATGATTTCTTGAACCTCTTACGCTCTTGGTTTTATCTTCTTCAGTTTCTTGTACTTCCAGAACAGCCTTTTCCCAAACTGTATGAGACTAACAGGTTCTGCATTTTATTTTTGCTTGTTCAAACACCTCACTGAAGCTTAAAGGTACAAAAACTCCTTGTTTTTCTACAGCTGCAGCATCACAACAAATGGAAATATTCCAGATGTCTTGTGCATTATGTTATATGCATTTCCCCAAAATTCAGTCCGACTGATAAGGTGTCTTTGGAAACTTTGAGATCTTCACTAGAATGTAAAATAAAGCTACGAAGGTCTGCGCCTTGTACGGTCTGAAGTTTGTAAAATGGAGTCACTGCTGCAGTTCAGTTTCTTGTTCAGATCTAATATTTAGTTTTCATGCAGGGAAGAGGAAGACGGGAGAAGAGTCTGGGAACGTAGTGAAGAAGCTGAAGTGTGATGCATCTCTGGATCACCCACCCTTCTACTACAGCATCCACCGCCACAGCATCAGAGGCATGAACATGCCAAAGTAAGAGATGTTTGACCTCAGGAATCCTGAAAAATATAGACTAACCCCAGACCAATCCTTTAAAATTCTATAGAAATACTTAAGAAAATATACATCTTTGAATACATTTACTGTATAATACCTTTTTTTTTCTCTTCAAAGATTGAACAAGTTTCTTCAGTACCTGACAGAGGCCAGCTTCAGGGTGAGTCGCACTCACTTCGACCCAACGGGAGTTCGAACCGACGCCACACTGGAGCAGTTTAAATCTGTCCTCACCAAGTACAGCGTCCCCACATACACCAACAGCTCCACCACTCAGACGAGCGTAAGCACGGAGAAGACAGTGTGAAAGAAACAAGCAGGAACAAGGTCGACTCAAACTTTCCACGCTTTGAAAACAAAATGGGTATTTTCGTCTTGTTTCTACTGCACCTCTGCTGTTTCTGTTAACCTAAACAAAGTTCTGACTGCACTGATACCTAAAGCAAACCCACCGACTGCTCTCTGTGGACGCGCTTTAACTAGAACAAAAAAGAAACTCTGTAATCAAACCAAAACTGATTTTTATTTAAAATGCAAACCAAACTGATCCTGCAGCACAGATGAGCCCAATGTTTCTGCTGTTTCTCTATTTATTTCAGATTTCTCTTGAAAAGTTTGTTTTTATTTTCTAGCTGGTTTATTGTCTTTTTCTGTTTCTCTTGTCTTATAAAAACATAATAAAAATCTCTCTGCAAAGCCTGAATTTGCTGATTTCTTAGATAAATGTTGTCCTGTTATTCTTTATTTAGTCTGAGAGAGACAAACATGCACAGGTTGTTCAAGTTACACATCAGACTCTGTGTTCCACAATTAAAATAAAATGACAGTGTTATTTTGGTTGCATTAAGCACAGAACAATCACAGTTGTTTCGTAACAGCATAATTTGGAACTTGAAGCAAAGATTGCTTCATTATTCAATATAATATAATGTATATATATATCATATATGTATATTTAAGTTGTGGTGAAGCTGCTTTGGGTGAAAAGCTAATCTGTGTTTTTGTTGAGCTGTGTGTGAACGTGTCTTTATGTTGTAGCTGGAGATTCTCTCTTGGGACGGTCAGTAGGCCGGCCCCAGATGTCCTAAGGCTCCTATAAGGTTCATATGTCACAAGCATATAGAGCGCTGAACCACAGAGTGATTTATACACAGGCAACAAGATTTTCAAATGGCTTCTCTGAGTGACAGGTAGCCAGTGTAAGGATTTTAGAACTGGACCAATGTGGTCATATTTTCCTAGTTTTTGTCAGGACCTGAGCAGCAGCATTCTGAGCAAGTTGAAGTTGCCAAAGAGCTTGTTTTAAAGGCCTACAAACAGGCCTTTGTAGTCATCTAATCTACTGGAAATAAAGGCATTTGTAAGCCTTTCAAGGTCTTGCTTTGACATTATTCCTCTGACTCTAGCAATGTTTTTTAGATGGTGGTAGGCAGATGACATTACTGATTTGATGTGGCTGTGGAAATTTATATCTGAGTCCAGGATAACACCAATGATTCTTGCTTGACTCAGTGATAAGAGAGAGCGATTCAAGGTGAGGACTGACACTCTGCCTTTCTTTCCGTGGCCCAAAGATAATTATGTCGGCCTTATCCTTGTTGAGTCGGAGAAAATTTTGAAATACTCAGATCTCTTACTTAAGTAAAAGTACAAAAGGATTAGACTCAAAATACACTTAAGTACCAAAATTAAAGTACCCATGCAGAATGGCCCATTTCAGAATAATTACATTATTGGATTTAATTAGTGACTAATGTGATCATCACTTAAATGCTGCAGCTGGTAAAGATGGAACCAAATTTATCTTCTTTATATGCTGCTTGGTAATTCAATCTATTATATGACAATTTATCAGTTGATTTATATTTTTTATTAATCATCTGAATGTGTAAAGTAACGCATCAAGTAAATGTAGTGGAGCACTGTAGTACATTTTTTTCCTCTGAGATGTACTAGAGTAGAATGTCAAGTTAAATAAAATGAAAATACTCAAGTACAGTAGAAGTCAGTATAATAGTTCTCAGGTGCTGTACTTAGTAAATCAAGCTTTTTTTCTGAAAATGAATCATTAATTAAGTATCTGAGACAAGGCCATAGTCAAAAATTGGGGTGGACCAAACCTCCCAACACACACACACACACACACAAAGTCACACACCAAATTCCAAAACTCATTTCCTCCTATATTAAATCATTTATCATAAGCAAGTGCATCTATACAGTATACCATAGATGAGAGCTACAGCTGTCTACACCACAGACTGTATATAAAGATGGACGACATTACAGCTCCCCAAAAGTGAAGCCAAAACATCCACATCCCCGATGTCTGATAGCAGTACAGGTCAAAAACCCCAGCCCCTCCGTGTTTGATGGGATGGGACCTGCTGTTTGTTCAAGTGTTCATTTTTCTGATAAGATATACCTTGTAATTTCATACTATACAAAGGAGGTTTGACATTATGATTGACAGCTGTGTGTGCCAATCCGCGTACTCACTATCAATGGTGCTGCTCACAATTGGTCAGACAGTTGTGTGGTTGAGAACTCGATGACTCTGGCTCCAGATGATGTCACCAGCCCAGACTCTGGCTCCAAATGACGTCACCAGCACAAGATGGCAGTGGTCATACCTGGGATATCTTGGCTTCATTTTTATACAGTAGGAATGAGTGGAGACACGTTGGTCATCTTTACATACAGCTTATTGTCTACACATGCAGGGCAACATAAATGATTACACCTTACTCTGACCATACCTGAGCTATCTGACAAATATAACACGATTAAAACACTTAATTTGTCAAAGAAAACTTTATTATTGGCGGCATGGCTCTGTTCCGGGGCCTCTCTGTCTTTCCTCAGGCCTATGCAGAAAGTCTCTTCCATGCGCCTACATGGAAAGCATAAGGTGGAGAGAGCACACCTCTCCGCCCCTCTGTATGCCTACGTGGAAAGCTTAAGATGGAGAGAGCACACCTCTCCGCCCTTCTGTGTGCCTGCGTGGAAAGCCTAAGGTGGAGAGAGCACACCTCTCCGCCCTTCCATGCGCCTGTGTGGAAAGCCTTAAGGCAGAGAGAGCACACCTGTCTGCCCTTCCACATGTACATGAGGAAAGCCTGAGGGAGAGAGCCAAACCTCCCTGCCCTTCCATGTGCCTACATGGAGAGCCTAAGGCAGGAAAAGCAGCAGCAAAAACCTCCCATGAATAGAACAGAGCCAACAGAGCGTCAGTGACAAACAGAGATGACACTGATGCGCCATACAACATGAAAAGGAGGAGCTGGGGTGGAGGCGGGTTGCAATGCAGCTTGCAGAGGAAGCAGCAACAGTTGGCAGGCCAGAGCAGTTTAAATAGGGCACCCTGAATGAGATTCCAATTTGTTGCATAGAAAGGAATCATGTGATCTATCGGCTGACTCATTTTCATCAATCAGCTGAGCCATCAGTTGATGGGCTGTTTGAGATCAATGTAGCTGGGTTGTGAGCTGAGCTTGACATTGTGTCCTGCCTGAACCAACGCTATGCTCAATTAATGTTGCTTGAATATGCCTATGGCCACCATTGTTCAAGATTCAAGACTTTTCTTTGCCATTTGCTCAGTTTACAAGGCCATTGGAATTCTTGTGCTTATTGTTGGTCGCTAGATGAATGTGTGGCTAATTAGCTGCAGGTAACTTAGCTATAATTGCTACCATTAGTGATGTTTGATTGATGACATCAGCCTGTTTTCACCAACAACAGGCAAACCATGGGCAGACCTACAGTACACCATAATACTAGAACCAGTAGTAATAATAATGGCAAGTTTATTTATGATTATGATTTGTTGATGTTTGCTTCAGAAAGTGGTACATGGTATTTATTTTTCTGATCAATATAACTGCTGCCTTGATCTGAGAGCACAGATTAGTAATCTCATGACAGTAATTTGAAAATGCTGAATGGTATCGAATCATTGTTGAATTACATAATTTCTACACCTGATGACATCATAAGTAATTTTCAGGGCTTAAAAAAAAGAAAAAGTGAGCTGGCTTTTCTAGGTGAACGTCACAGCATGACACGATGTTGAGAGGAGGGGGAGGAGGAGGGCGTGCTCCTTCTCCCTCACTCCCTCCTTCACACTGTTGCTGCACATCGATGTGACGGTGTTAGTACCTGAGGACTGAACCCTTACCTGTGGATCCTCTCCCAGCAGCAGCACCATGGGGATCTCCACGTCCAGTCTGCTGGATGAGACCAAATCCAACTACATCAAAGGTAAAAAACAAACAAACACAAACAACACAAACATTCACGTTTTTCGAGCGCGTTTGGAGCGAAGCGGCGAGGACGCACCGCGCTCCCACCGTGTTTCCTTTAAGACACATCGGGTCGTTTCTGTTGATCTCAACAGCAAACTTCCACTTCTCCAGCTCTGTGTTGTTGTGGAGCTCAGTGTCTAACTGTAAGTGATAAGTGGAGATCGGTATGATCAATCAAGGAGCGCGCTTTTGTTTTTGCGTTTCGGTGGAATCTGTGAATTTCATCTTATGTCCTGATTGATCGGAATCAGTGTCTCATTCAAATCTTGTTCTCACATGTAGATTTTACTCAGTTGAGAGTTTCTGTGGAAACAAACAGCTGATACATTTCACCTTTCACCAAACTTGTTTGCAAAGATCTGAATCTGTCAGTCAGGCTGCTGTGGAACCTGTCTGTCTGGTTTCCTCGGATCTTTCCACAGAAATATTTTCCTATAAATCTAAAGTCCTCCAGGCAAGTTTGTTTGACAGATAATAAACTTAGGAGGGCATTTAATGCTGCTGTCACTGTTTTTAGCCCAGTTGTCTGCGGGGCTGATCAGGTCACTCCTGCCTTTCCAGTTCTACAGGGGAAAAGAAAAGTGAGATGGGAGAGTCTGCCAAGACCTGTCCCCCTCCTTTTGTCTGCTGTGTCCTCTGTTGCTGGGTGTGTCCCTGAGTGGATATGTAGAGAAGACAAAAGGTGCTTCTGCTGTTTTCATTGTGTGTGAATGACACACAGAGTACCATAGACAGGTGGAGATGCTAACAGGTGTTCATGCAGGGATGCTGGTCCTCATGTGCCAACATGGGAGGAGCTGATTTAGAAATCTTTGAGCAGGAAGTTGCTTTTTGAAGATTATGTTGATATTTGATTGCAACTTTATTTGCGAAATGGATTTATATGTGTGCATAAATGAGACAAGTCAGGAGGATGTTTGGAGACCACCAAAGTCATTTAATCATAGCCATGTAATCCAGAGCTGATCCAAGCTTTGTGGTGTTAACCCTCAGTGCACCTGTGCTGTAGGTCAGGTCTGGTTCCAGTCTGTGCCTCTAATGCAGGGATATTCAACTTGCTTTGCCTGGGGGCCACTTTTGTAAAAGTACAGGAGGCCAGGGGCCAGTCACAGCAGGCATACACAGGTCAGGTGTACGCAGGGGCGTTTCTAGGATTTGAGGACATTCTGGGGCAAAGCCAATGTTTCTGTCCAACCTGGTCTCACTCCCATCTCATCATATACCGACACTTGATCAGTGGCCTGTTTGCATCAGACATTGATGCATGGAGGCAGTTATGAGACGACCTGTTGTTATAAAGAGCAATAAAAATTTGCATTTGGGAGGGCAGGTCATTAAGGTAGATGGGTCAAACAAACTCTGGACTTTGACCCAAGAGCCCGCTGTTTGT